CCATAATCTCTAAATGATAATAATTATAAAAACTATATGAAATTATTTTTTTATATGAAACACATACATAAGCATAAAGTCTATCGATTCTTCAGTACTCAATTAGGAAAAACATACGTGCACTTCATAAATTTCTTATTCGTGGCAAGTCTTAATATATGTGGTCGTCGTGGGATATGTTGATTATGTCATTGTGAGAGTACCATTTGATGTAGATTAGATTAATGGGTTTATACAAAGTGACAAGGTCTATGCACTAGTGTTTGTCAATATGTATTAAACAATTCATTACACAGGTTGAGCTGTCCCCTTTAGGGCAAACAATAGTTAGAAAACCATAAAAATCTCTGTCGAGTCTAAAATGGGACATTATGGGCCGAGAGAAATTCCCGGCTCTGCTTTGAAACTTGACTCGTTGACTACCGATCCAGCCATTCGTGTTGTTTTGAAATCAAACCATCTTGCTGTTCAAAGGCTTGGTATAAGTAAGAGGGTTGTAGATTAGTCAACAAAAAATCTGATTCTTGTATAGGTTAACAAACAAGTAATCTCTTATAATTTTTTTAATTTTGACATGAATTATCGGGCGTTTGATTAATTTTAAAAATGTATAAAAGACATGCAATAAATCAAACATGATTTTAATTCTTTGAGGACCATCAATAATATGACTTGAATTAGTAGGATCCGATTCTTTGACAATAATAATTCTCTTGATAAAGGATAATCTACTTACGATAAAATAATGACAGTGATTACCCTATAATGTTGATGCAAGGACGCAACAAAAGGAAAGCCTAAACCACATGCTTATCTATGTTAATAATTAATATGATTATGCATGCCTATATGTGGGTGCTCATGCATTCAAAGATCACATCACACATGCAACTAATCATCATTTTCCAAAAAGGAGAGAGACAATTTCCTTCTTGTGTCTATTCTCAGAACTTCATCAAGAATATTAATTTCTAATTCTACCTTGTATACGATTGTGCCTATGGCCCTCAGTAGTTGGCTTGTTCCTGCTTGTATAACATGTCTAAACCATTTTCTGTCTCGATCTTATCTTGAAAGTTTGAACCATCTATAAACTTAACAAAAATGTGTTGCTGCTAATTAAATAAGGTCTCTACAGATCCAACCATTAAGCCAATGTAGAGTTCTGTCTATCTAAACCAAAATTCATGGGAATTTTCAATCATAATTTTGCAGGGCTTTGCATGAGAAGGAAGAAAGAGAGAAGAAACAGATGACCAGAGCAAAGTTCTTTCTTATTGTCTTAGTTTGCAGTTTTTCATGGTACTTGCTCCCAGGGTACCTTTTCACAACACTAACAAGCATCTCCTGGGTTTGTTGGATTTTCTCCAAGTCTGTCACAGCCCAACAACTTGGTTCAGGCTTGCGGGGACTTGGACTTGGTGCTTTGACACTAGACTGGAGTGCAGTGTCATCCTTCTTGTTCAGTCCGCTCATTAGCCCTTTCTTTGCCATTGTCAATGTTTTTGTGGGCTACGTGCTGATAGTGTACATTGTAACTCCTATAGCTTACTGGGGTGTAGACTTGTTTAGTGCAAGAAGGTTTCCCATATTCTCCTCACACTTGTTTACAGCTCAAGGTCAACCGTATGACATATTAGCCATTGTTAACAACAATTTCGAACTAGATAAAGTGAAGTATGAGGAGGAAGGACAAATTCATTTGAGCGTGTTTTTTGCTCTCACCTACGGGTTTGGTTTTGCCACCATTGCCTCTACGATTACGCACGTTGGTCTCTTCTATGGAAGGTACTATCTAATTATAGACTCACTCTTAGATGCTTCTACTTATGAGATTAAATCTCCTAATTTTAGAAATCTGAATCTAGTAAGCATATTTGACGTTGGAAATCCAAAATTCATTTATATTTGCTACTTTTATGAGACGTATTTCATATTCAGCATTATTGTAACTTCCTTTTAGAATTATAGCAAGAATGTTCTTCAGTTCTATTTTTAAGAGAAATCTTTAAGGATTAAATGTTATCCTATTATCAACATTTTCTTCTTCACCATACTATAAGTGCCAAGAAAATTACATGAACTATAAAGAATGGAGTATGTAAAAGCAACTTATTTTTTCAAGTTCAAATACAACAATGACTGTGATTAACAGGGAGATATATCAGCGCTATTGTGCTTCTTACCAAGGCAAGGAGGACATCCATACAAAATTGATGAGAAAATACAAGGACATACCTTCATGGTGGTTTTACATTCTTCTTGCTGTCACAATAGTAGTTTCTCTTTTACTCTGCATCTTCGATAAAAAGGTTCAGTTGCCATGGTGGGGACTCCTATTTGCTAGCGGCATGGCCTTTGTCTTCACCCTTCCAATCAGCATCATAACTGCCACAACAAACCAGGTGATTAGTCATTTGCTCTTTTTTACCACTCTTTAAGTTAATTTGTGGTTGAATACATATGCTTCGCTTGCCTCCTGTCTCTACTGATATTTTGGCTCATTCCTGCCATTCGGAATGAAGCAGGTCTCAAACAATAACCCTTCAATTTACCTCAGGCAGAATTGAAGCATAACACCAACTTTTTTTTTTTTATTTTTTATTTTTTACCTAAGTTAAAGGTGACATTTTATTGCTACTAATGCATCCATGGTCCGTGTACAGACTCCAGGTTTGAACATAATTACAGAATACGTAATTGGTATCATATATCCGGGAAGACCTATTGCCAATGTATGCTTCAAAACCTATGGGTACATGAGTATGGCTCAAGCAGTCTCCTTCCTCAGTGATTTCAAGCTGGGACACTACATGAAGATCCCTCCAAGATCCATGTTCTTAGTTCAGGTACATTTTTTTTCTGTTTTTCTCTCTACCAATATCTATTAATGCATAGAATAATATATTTAAGCTAGCTCACCAGTTTGGAAAACTAGGTAAGAGAAAATGTGTCAGAAAGAAGCTGAAAAAAATGAAGTTAAAAAATTATGGAAACCCAAAATGCCAAAGAACTTGAAACACAACCTGACTCATAAACCAAGAGATGATGATACTTGGGCATTTTACCTCGAGATTGCTTTCCACCAAAACACATTCTTTTATTTCATGCTCAACAGATCAACAGATTCACACATTCTAGTATTTGACAAAATTTATTTTCCCTGAAACAGTTCATACAGGTTGTTGTTGTTGTATGTGCTTTTTGATTATTTATTTTTTTTTAATTTTTTATATTTTTTAAAAAGATTTTTAATTCCATCTGCTCTTGCATAGTTCATAGGAACAATTCTAGCTGGAACGATCAATCTTGCAGTGGCCTGGTGGTTGCTAAACTCTATCCACGAAATTTGTCAAGATGATCTCCCTGCTAACAGTCCCTGGACATGTCCCAATGACAGAGTTTTCTTTGATGCATCTGTAATATGGGGTTTAGTGGGTCCAAGACGAATCTTTGGATCTCAAGGCAACTATTCGGCAATGAATTGGTTCTTCCTGGGAGGTGCATTAGGACCTATCATAGTTTGGTTGCTGCACAGGACATTCCCCAAGCAATCTTGGATTCCCCTAATTAATCTTCCAGTCCTCCTAGGAGCAACAGCATATATGCCACCAGCAACAGCTTTAAACTACAATAACTGGGTCCTAGTTGGAACTATTTTCAACTTTTTTGTCTTTCGTTACCGAAAGCAGTGGTGGCAAAGGTACAACTACATTCTTTCAGCAGCCCTTGATGCTGGGGTGGCTTTCATGGCAGTGGCCTTGTACTTTGCAGTGGGCATAGAAAATATAAGTGTGTCTTGGTGGGGCACAAATGGTGAACACTGTGACCTAGCTGCATGTCCAACAGCCAAGGGTATAGTGGTTGAGGGTTGTCCGGTGAATTAATGCATGTAATTCCTCTTTTAAGTGTGTAATCTCTTTTAAAAGTTGGACAGCATAGAACTAGCAAGCACCAAAGCACTTAGTCAACGAGATGAAGCATAACTGAAATCTATGACTATTTATGATAGATATTAAATAATAAAAGCTTCCCCTTACATTCTTCTGCATCCTCTAGAGTATATCCTTTTTAGATAACAATTTGAGTCTCACATTGTAATGTTATTAACATGAAGTGCACAACAATGTTTTTAAAATTAGACCAGAGGTTACACTTCTCCTTTCTAGAGCTTCTAGGTTGACTGGTTGGAAGGGCTCAACTGCCTGTCTATGCCCAATTGTAAATTGGAAAGAAGGCCTGAAACTTGCAATTTCCTGCAATCCCAGTTGAATTGCAAGTCACTGGTTCTTTATAGTTTTCCAGCTCAAGCAGTTCGAAATGCTTCAAAAAGGTCTAATCACTCAAACAATTCTAAGGGGGCTTTTCCAACCTGTTGAACCCGCCAGTCTGGTCCAGTTTTGAAGACATTGCTACAGGACATGATGCATCTTCGCCATATCTGTGGTGGATGAGACAGGAAAAGGATAACCATAACAATTTCCTTGAGGGATGGTCCATTGTTGTCTGTGTCAACAAAATTATCTATTGTCTATAATATGAAGCCGGATTTAGTAGGACACCACTGTAATTAGGATCCTCATAGGAAAAAGAAAGAAAATTGTTAGGCTAATGGCCTATGAGAAAGACACCAAGAGGCAATAGAAGGCTTACCAATTTAACAAATGGGAGCATCTAATTTATAATACCTTGAAGCAATCACGACTTGTTCATTGACACCCACTGATTATACTCATCCATTCTTATTATAAAGGAGTTGGAACTTGGAGAGCCACCTCCAACATATGCCTTCAAGTTTACAAACAGAAAGTCAACTTACTGGAAATTTGATCTCAAGATCTTAACATCGAAAAAAAGAAAAAGGAGGGGAGGGGGGGAGGGGGTTGTTGCAAAATTGCATTGATTATGTGCACACCTTTGCAACTTCAGAGGTATCAGTTATACTATCGGTGCTCCTCAAGCACATCTTTAGATTAGTCCGTTGCATGATGTATATAACAACTCCAATAGGCCTACATCATCAAAGAGCTACATCACCTCTAAATTATTCCATCCAAAGGATACATTTATAGCTATCACACATCTAGTGTAGCTTGTCAGCCAATGGTGCTGCATAGAAGGATTTTGTCAGTAGGAAAACTATAAAAGCAACAATAAGTAGGACTATCTCATGAAGTGATTACATAAATGAGAAGCAGCATTTGAATTGGTAATACAACTGGGGATCCTGTTTTCCTCTTAGCACTTCAGATTTATGCTTGCACTTAACCTAAGTAGTTTTTTCCCATAAGAAACTTCTAGTTTGATCAAGTTTTAAGAGTCAATGTGTTGTAGGCAAGCCATAATCCCCAACACAATGAAATAAATCCATGAAGCGCTAGCACTTAATGCATTTCATTGAATTACTGCTTATGTTTCGTAAAACTCTCTCCTAGCATAAAAGCAGAACCTCACTGTTGTTGTTTAATAAATACATAGGAAATTTACACAAATATGTTGCTACAACAAAGATTATGCATTTGATTTCCATCTCCATTAACAATGATGAACAAGGGCCTAATGCAGGCTAAGCCACCAAATGGAGCTGAAACCATGGTGATACTCAAACTATCATGCCGAACATTTCAAACAATAAATGGAAATGACAGGTTCCCCACTCAATGGTCAAGCTCTTCACTCATAGAAAGTATTAACAATACATAATGTCTACTAGCCAACCATTCAAAAAAAGGTCAATAATTTATTACAAGCACCTGGTTGACTGCTTTGGGGAAAGAAAACAACACTAGGACGATGCAATGCAAGAGTGA